CACGCTGGGCCCCAGGGCGAGCTGCGTGGCCATGGACGTGGGCGCCGCCGAGTTCGAGGAGAGCCTCCCTCTGCTGCAGGAGCTCCTTTCGGATGCCGACTTTGTGGGTGAGGCCCCCCGCCTGGACGAGCCTGGAGAGGGAGCAGTGGGAAGCCGGGCCGCAGCGGCTGGAGAGGGGCCCTGGGGAGGGGCAGGGTTGGAGGGGCGCCTTCTCAGAGCCCCTTGGCCCCAGGGCGTTAGGCAGCAATTACACCCAGAGACCTGCCTTATGGGCTAGAGTCCTCTGCGGTCCAGGTACCACAGGCCTGGTTGGTCTTTGCTTTGGCTCCTTCCTCCCCTCTCCCTTTTTTGAGTCCGGGTTTCATTCTGTCACTTAGGCAGGAGTGCAGTGGCACAATCACGGCTCATAGCACATGGCAACTCGCCCTCCTGAGCTCGGGTGATCCTACCGCCTCAGCCTCCCAAATAGGAGGGCCCATAAGTGCACATCACCATGCCCGACTAATTTTTTGATTTTGTGGAGACAAAGTCTTGCTGTGTTGCTCAGGCTGGTCTGGAACTCCTGGGCTCAAGCGATCCTCTCCCCTTGGCCTTTTATTTTATTTATTTTTATTATTATTTTTTTTGAGTTGGAGTCTCACTCTGTCGCCCAGACTGGAGTGTAGTGGCCGCTCCCGGCCACCGCAGCCTCGACCTGCTGGGCTCCGGCGATCCTTCTGCCTCAGCCTTCCGAGTAGCCAGAATTACAGGCGCACGCTACCACGCCCGGCTAATTTTTTGATGTACTGTAGAGATGAGGTCTCGCTGCCCAAGCGGGTCTCGAACCCGTGGGCTCAGGCAATCCACTCACCTCAGCCTCCCAAAGGCGCGGGATTACAGGCTGAGCCACCGAGCCCGGCTCCCCCTTGGGCTTTTAAAGTGCTGGGATTATAGACAAGAGCCACCGCACCTCCCGGTTTTCCCCTTTTGACCTCATCTGGTGTCTGGAGCACAGAGAAGGTGAGCCCAGGTGTGCTGGCCACCTGCAGATTTACGGTGTGAAGAGTGGTGGCCATGGTCCACACCTGGGGACCCTTGTCTTTTTTGCCTCCCCACAGGTCTGGACATAGAGTTTACTGGTCTTCGTTCTAACCTGTCTGGGCCCCAGCAGATCAGGTAAAAACTAAAGTCGTCATAGAACCCAGAGAGAGGCAACTCACCTGTGTCTTCTTTATGATCCTGGCCAGACCAATGCTGTTCCTCAGCAGGCAGCCTGCTGGCATGTGTAGGGCAGGACATTTTATGTGGGTTCTCACAGGTCCAGGGACCTGGCTTTTGTCCACTAAATGCTAGTAGTGCTCCCAAGCTGTTGTAACAAGGAAAACACGTTCCTGGTTGATCCGGCCATAGAGGCCATAGTGACTCAACTAGGTCTTTTGCTTGTGGGATGAAATGACTGTCTTTTTGTTTTTTGGTCTTTTTTGAGTCGGAATGTCACTCTGTTGCCTAGGCTGGTGTGTAGTGGCATGCTCACAGCCACTACAACCTCAACCTAGTGGGGGCTCAAGCAATCCTTCCGTCTCAGCCTTCCACCTCAGCCTTCCACATACCTGGAACTACAGGTGTGCACTACCATGCCCGGCTATTTTTTTTTTTTTTTTTTTAGTTGTAGAGAGGAGGTCTTGCCATGTTCCTAGGCTGGTCTCAAACCCTTGGGCTCAGGCAGTCCTCTCACCTCAGCCTCCCAAAGTGCTGGGATTGTAGGTGGGAGCCACCAAGCCCATCTGAGATGCCTGTCTTTTTTTTTCCAGTCTTTTTGATTTGCCATCGGAATGGTATCTGAAGACTCGTCAGAGTGTTCAACAATTTACAGTCTGTCAGATCGGTGAGTTTAATAATCAGCTGTGTGTGAGTTTTTGTTTTTAAGAAGATATTTTTAGCCAAGCCATGTGGCCTTGTGCTCTTTGAGCTATGGCTGTCGCCATGTTTTCTTAAGCTTTTCACCTTGGGGAGGTGAAGCCCCTCTTTCTTTCTCTCTTCAATTTACTTTCTAAATAAACTATATTTTCTAATCTAAAAAAAAGATATTTTTGTTGTCTGTGTTTCCTGCTGTAAAAACAGCTTTGAGATTTTTTCGAAGATACTGGGTATCATTTTGTGTGCTTATTTTGGTTTTGGCCATATTATGCATATGAGGTCAACACTTTGCAGGGAGGAGAAAATTTAGCAGCATCGTTTCTGTGCTTAAATAAATCATCATTAAGAAACAATCACTATTGACCAGGTGCAGTGGCTTACACCTGTAATCCCAGCACTTTGGGAGGCAGAGGCAAGAGGATTGCCTGAGCCCAGTGGTTCAAGACCAGCCTGGGTAACTTGGCAAGACCTCCTCTCTACAACAAATGAAAAACTAGCTGGGCTTAGTGGCACACGAAAAAGGTAATGCTGTGATTTTTTTTTTTACGTTAATTTACTTATTTTTGAATAGGAGTCTCACTCTGTTGCCCAGGCTGTAGTGTAGTGGCACTACACATGTAGTGTAGTGGCCCAGCTTGCTGGGCTCAGGTGATCCTTCTGCCTCAACCTTCCAAGTAGCTAGAACTACAGGCATGTATCACTACCACACCTGGCTAATATTTTTATTTATTGTAGAGATGAGGTCTTGCCAAGTTGCCCAGACTGGAGTGTAGTGGCATGTTCACAGCTACTGTAGCTTCCACCTGCTGGGTTCAGGCAATCCTTCCACCTCAGCCTTCCAAAGTTCTGGGATTGTAGGCATGAGCCACCATGCCCGGCCTCTTTCTTTCTAATTCATCTAAGCTTCAGAACTTTTTTTTCACTTGATGGGGTTTGGGGGTCTTTCTATGTCAGCTCATAAAGATTTGTTCATTTTTAACAACTGCATAATGTAGTTTCTATTGCAGCTACTCAATTCTGCCTTTGTAATGTGAAATCAGCCATAGATAATACAAAAACAAATGAGTGTGTCTCTATTCCAGTGAAATATTATTTACAGAAATAAGCCCTGGGCCAAAATTTACTTTTTTTTTTTTTGTAAAGACGTGGATTTTTGCTATGTTGCCTAGGCTGAACTTAAACTCCTGGATTCAAGGGATCCTCCCATCTCAGCCTCCCTAGTAGCTGCAGGTGCATGCTGCTGTGCCCAACCCCTGATTTTACTATGAATGATGGAGAGAGAGAGAGAGACAGAGGGAGGGCGGGAGACGGAGTGTGTGTGTGTGTGTATGTGTATGTATGTATGTGTATGTGTGAGTGAGTGTGCATTCGGTTGCTCCTTACTGCCTTAGTCCTTTGCTACTTTTCTGTTGTGGCTTTGTTTTTTTAATTATAAAACATCTTTGAGACATATGAGAAACAGCTCTTAGTTAAGTTTCTATTGCTCTACTCCAATTTGAAGGCTTTTTTACTTTCTATATATTTTTGAGGGGGGTGTAGTGGGCAACAGACACTTTCAAGCAGTTAAGTTTATGTCTTTTTTTTTTTTGAGTCAGAGTCTCTGTTGCCCAGGCTGGAGTGCAGTAGCCCAATCACAGCTACCACAGCCTCGATCCACTGGGTTCAGGCGATTCTTCTGCCTGGAATTACAGGTACACACCACCATGCCTGGCTAATTTTTTTTTATTTATTGTAGAGACGAGGTCTCGTCGAGTTGTCCAGGCTGGTTTGCCCCTGGGCTCAGGCAATCCTCCCGCCTCGGTCTCCCAACGTGCTGGGATTACTGGCATGAGCCTCTGATCCTAGCCTCTCTGGTTCGCTTTAAAACTATGAAACTGTCCAATTAATATTTACTTCTGTATTTGAAGCATAATGCACAATTACATTATAGTACCTTTGGTGTGAGTTACAGTTTGACAGCTTCCATGCTTTCAGAGTCTGCCTTGTCTTTTTTTTTTTCCCAATAAACCTGTTGTCCTGTTCTACAGCCCACATGGTATCTGTGGGTGCAGAGTATAGTTGGACACGTTTTGTCTGTGTTGCTGACTTTGGGTGGCTTTCCTTTGGAGTTCATTCCCTCTACTGTCATTCTTCCAGGGTTGTCTGTGTTTACCACTGTTGAAGGAGAGATAAACAAGTATGTATAAAGAGCTTTTGCAAAGCACGTTTCTCTACCCACCCACGTCCCACAACTGCCTCCTTCAAGTTCTGTCCCTGGTGTCGCAGTCACTGTTGCCCTAGATGCTCTGTGTTCTCTTCTGTGTCTGCTGCCCCACGTGCTCTGTCCTCATTCCAGCTCACCCTTCATGTCTCTCTGGAAGCAATACCTTCCAGTGGGACCTTTCCCACCAGCCTTCTCTGTACCCTAAGTTCTCCTTTCCCTGGTTTCATTGTCACTTGTGTACCTGTATTGATTACAGCAGCTGATGCAGTGTGGGGTAATGAGAGTGATGTTTAAACCACCTTGTAGCTCACAGGCTAGAAGGGTACCCAATCTATCAGGATGACACCCCTGTGAGCAGCTGAGGGTGCTGCTGACTTGCACTGTCTGACTCAGTAGCAGCCCTGGTGGGGTGGGGGGTCTCGTGAAGGGGCTGTCTCTGTGGTAGACTCCATTCCCTGGGGTCAGGAGCTCTCCCTCCTTCCTTTGGCACCCAGGGCCAGTCCTAGTACCTGAAACACAGCAGACACCAGCTGCTTCTTACAAGAAAGAGCTCATGCTGAAGCCTGCTCTGTGAGCTAGAGTTGTTAAATGGTCATGGCTTTTTCTGCTTCTCTTTCTTTCTTTCTTTTTTTTTTGTAGGTATGTAGCCCATTCATGTAACTTCTTTCTCTTCCCTACAACGTTTGGGATTTTGGATTCCGAATTCTCTTTCCAGGCTTCTAGTGTTCAGTTTTTGAATCAATATGGCTTCAACTATAACAAGGTATGGTGTCAGGGAAGGGAAACGGGAGTATCTTAAAAGCGGTCCCATCTAATGGCCTGTGCGGCGCATTTCCTTTTCCCTTTCTTACTCTTCCACATGAGACTGGAAGGTCTTTCTTCACTCTGCTGCCTGGCAACTCTGACTAGTCTCCTTGTTCTGTTTCTGTCTTGAGTTTCTCAAAAATGGAATTTCATATATGAATGAAGAACAGGAGAAGAAAATTAGACACGAGATCCTGAGTGGGAACTGGAGAATGCGCAGGTATGACACTTTGTGGCTTCTTTCTTGCCGCTGTCTCTGCATTTTCCATGGGCAGTTGTGCTGTTTCTAGGACTGTGGTGACCTGCTTCCACCCATACTCAGCTGGAGGAGCTTTGGCCAGCATTGTTCCCCTTGTGCCTGAGATGAGAGCAACCCTCAGCTGTCTCCTCCATCACTGTCAGCTCCCATGCAACCCCCTCACTGTCTCAAGTGTGATTTTAGTGTTTAAAAACAAAGGGAGAAACTGACTCTTAATTTGGTACTCAGAAGAAACAGGAATCCCATCGTAGTGTGAGAGGGGAGATAGTGGCTCTCTTGGACTTGCTGTGAGATGCTATGTTGGTCCCCACTGCGATCTTCTGAGGGATTTTCAAGGGTGTCTCACAGGTGACCTCAATGGAGCCAGTCTCTTGCTGGGCGCTGATGTTAACTGTGAGCCCTGGTTGGCTGTGTCTGACATGGCAGGCCTGACCCTGCTGTGCACAAAGCACTCTGGCTTCCAAGGGCAGGAGCTCTGCCTTTTTTCTTTGCCCCTCCCCCCCATGCCAGTCCCTGGAATCTCGTATTCCCGTAGAGCTGGGGTCAGGAGTGACCAGAGGGAGAGTGGCAGCACCATGGGTGGACGGGCCAGCGGCCCCAGTGCACCCCCCTGGAACTGGTACTGTCAGCTGGTCGTGGGTTTGAACAAATCACTGAAACTCTTTGGGCTTCAGATTCTTTGCCTTTACCAGGAAGGGGTTTAAATTAGCTTTTGACTCTGAAATGTGGTAAGTGATTTTCTGGTCCAGATAATTCTCTATGTAACGTTGGAGGTGTTTTTGTGTTTTTGGTGCTAGTTTTGATATAAAAATGTAGGTTTTTATAAGGGGGAAAAACGGTTTGGATCTTCAGCCTTCTGTTATTTCCAAATGTTGGAGAAAGGTTTTATCTCAAAATAACCTGTTCTTACATTTCTAACACTGAAGAAGATATGTTGACCAAAGTCCTCATCTTTTCCTTACTTTCCCAGATAGTGTGTTGTCACCTCTCAAAGTTGAATAAGGACAGTCCTACTGTCATGCTTAGCCTTGGCTAGATACCCATACCTTTCCTTCCATACATCCTAGTGAAGCAGAGGGGGATAGTGGATGGGAATCCCTATCCCTGGGAACATCCCGGATGATGTTGGCCAAGTGTTTGGCTTCCTATTGCATATCAGGAGTAAATGGTTGTCTTCTGGCCCATTTTCTTTGAGATTGCAATGTTAAAACTAGAGGCCTCCAAATCTGCTCTCATGCTAACATTGTGTTGGGGGTTCTGGTGTGATTTCCTCCAACATTTCCATTTTGGTGTGCCATTTTCAGCTCTCTGGATAAAGATCAAATCAAGGTGGTGATTGACGAAGTGACGCGGTGGCTGTACCTGGCTGAAGAAGGCGGCTGGATGGCTCTTCCTGGAATCACTGGTAGGCAGGAGGCTGCTCCGCCTGACCTGGGAGCGTTGGAGAGGTCACTGACATGTGCCAGAAGTTATGGGAAACACACCCTCCTTCCCAGGGATCCCAATCCCAAATGCGTCATGACTGAGTCCCATGCCAGCATTTGTTCAGAGGATATGTAGTCTTTGTGCTTAGATAAAGCTCTGATCTGAATTCAGAAGTCAAAGATCTTTGACCTAACTTTGAATTTCAAGGCTGAGGAAGTCAGGTTCCATTCGTGAGCCACCTTTTCTGTCCCAGTCCTGAGTGCCCCATGCACTCTTATTTTGCTGACTTTGGTGAATCTCTGCGTTTACACACCCTAGCCGAGCAGCTCTCATAGCCTGGTCTGTGGATCCTGGGAGTCTCTGAGCCCCTTTCCAAGGGGTCCACTAGGTCAAAACTATTTCCCAGGTGTCCCTCAGCTGTCACTTGCTGTTGTCTTTGCGTCACTGCACTGGTGAAGCCATCCAAATCAAGGCAGGAGCATCTGGCCATGCTGGCAGTGGTCATCATGTTCTGAGTCACCCCTTACTCTCAGTTTAAAAAGCCAATTTTGGCCAGGAGCGGTGGTGGCTCATGCCTATAATCCCAGTACTTTGGGAGGCCGAGGTGAAAGGATTGCCTGAGCTCATGGGTTCGAGACCAGCCTGGGCAACTTGGCAAGTCTGCACCTCTACAATAAATCAAAAAATTAGCTGGGTGTGGTGGCTCATGCCTGTAATTCCAGCTACTTGGAAGGCTGAGGTGGAAGGATCACCTGAGCCCAGCAGGTTGAGGCTGTGGTATCTGTGAGTATGCCCCTGCACTGCAGCCTGGGTTACAGAGTAAGACTCCAATTAAAAAAAAAAAAAAGCCCATTTTACTGAAGATTCTCCTTGGTGAAGAAGTAATATTTTTAGTTTTGTTGACTCAACCTTTGATTGATCATTTTAAAAAATACATATGTTAATACAAGTATGCAAAAACTAAGTATACCAAACTACAGTGGTTGTGTTGAGGAAAGGCACTAGTATAGTTTCTTTGAGTTGAAAGTGAATTTGCTCCTTTTTTTTTTCTTAATGAAATGTCAGGCCAGGTGTGGTGGCTCAAGCCACTAATCCCAGCACTTTGAGAGGCCGAGGTGACAGGATTGTCTGAGCCCAGGGGTTGGAGACTTTAATGTAACAGTACAAGAAGATTCATTAGTGGTTTCTGGTCCCACATTTCAACTAATGTTTAATAAACTACTGCTTGCTGAATTTTGGTGCAGTGTTAGAGGAGACTACCCAAAGTCATTTGGTGAGGCTAGTAATTCTATTCCCGTTTCCCACTGCATAATCTGTTCGAGGCTGGATTTTTCTTCCTGTGCTTGTGATCACAATGTATTATGACAGATTGAGTGCAGATATAAGGTTCCAGCCAGATGTTAGAGAGATTTGCAAAAATGTAAAACAAGATCACTCTCTTCACTAAGTTTTTGTTTTGGAAAAGTTATTTTTTATGTGTTTTTGCACTAATGTATAGTGGATTTTTTTGTTATTTTAAAAGAAAAACTTTAAATTGTTTTAAACTTTAAGAGTTAAATTCTGAGCTGGGCTCGATGGCTCAGCCTGTCATCCCACACCTTGGGAGACTGAGGTGAGTGGATTGCCTGAGCCCGCGGGTTCGAGACCCGCCTGGGCAACTTGGTGAGACTTCATCTCTACAATAAATATTAAAAAAAAAAAAAATTAGCCAGGCATGGTAGCGTGCACCTGTAGTTCCAGTTACTTGGAAGGCTGAGGTGGAGGGATCGATGGAGCCCAGCAGGTCGGGGCTGCGGTGGCCGGGAGCGGCCACTGCACTCCAATCTGGGCGACAGAGTGAGATTCCAACTCAAAAAAATAAAATAAAATAGCCGGGCTTGGTGGCTCAGCCTGTAATCCTGCGCCTTTGGGAGGCTGAGGTGAGTGAATTGCCTGAGCCCGCGGGTTCGAGACCTGCCTAGGCAGCGAGACCTCATCTCTACAATAATTCAAAAAATCAGCCGGGCGTGGTAGCGCATGCCTGTAATTCCGGCTACCTGGAAGGCTGAGGCGGAAGGATCACTGGAGCCCAGCAGGCGAGGCTGCGGTGGCCGGGAACGGCCACTGCACTCCAGTCTGAGCAACCGAATGAGACTCCAACTCAAAAAAATAATAATAATAATAAAATAAAATGAATAAAATTAAATTAAATAGATTCTAAAAAAAAAAAAAAGAGTTAGATTCTGGCCATGCTCGGTGGCTCAGTCTGTAATCCCAGCAATTTGGGAGGCAGAAACAAGTGGTTTACCTGAGTCCGCAGGTTCGAGAACAGCCCGGGCAACTTGTGAGACCTCGTCTCTACAATATATCAAAAATTAGCTGGGTGTGTTAGGGTGCGCCCGTAGTTCCAGATGCTTGGAAGGCTGAGGCGGAAGGATCGCCAGAGCCCAGCAGGTTGATGCTGGGGTGCCTGTGAGTGTGCCACTGCACTCCAGCCTGGGCGACAGAGTGAGACTCCAACTCAAAAAAAAAAAAGTGAGTTTCTAGCATGATTGATATCTAAGGCTATAGCCCACAGAAACACAAACTGTGGAATCCCCCAATTTAAGAGTGAGCCTGAGATCAAACACTTTTAGAGTGCTGCCCGTGTCATGTCACAATAGGCCATGTCCTGTCACGTGGCTCATGGGCTTAGACATCCCAAGAGCTGCCTTTCCCCTTGCCCATTGGGTCTCAGCCTCTGTTCCTCTTGGGCTTCTCTTGTGGGAGCTGCCTTGTTGTTCCAGGGTCTGTGTGTGCTTGTGTCGTTGCCACAGGGTTCCGGGCCTTCGAGGTCCAGCTGGTGCTGAGGCAGGCCCTCCCCAACATCTGGACGGTGCAGAAAGATGAAGGGGTGAGTTCTCGCCTGAAAATGGGGCATCAGGGGCTCTGTCGAATTTTGGCCAAATCTGGCCTCTGTGAAAGACTCCTTTCTTGTGCCCTCTCCAACCCCTATCTTCTTCTTTTTCTTTTTTGTTCTGCCTCCCCCCATCCCCCAGCTTTCTGTTTTGAGATGAAGAGCCTTTTTGGTAGACTACATTCCCGGTAACCCAGGATTTGGGGAACTTGTTTTTACTTGTCATTTCAGGTGATCGTGAAGAAAGTGAGTAAACAGCACCGCTGGTATCTTGAGAATACTTCTTGTGATCGAGACAGTTATTGGAAGGAAAATATTCTTCTCTCTGTGAAAGGTTTTTCCGTTTTTTTCCAAATGCTGGTGAAAGCTGGGAAGGTAGGACATATCTCTTTTCTTGGCCTAAAGGCTCTCCTCTGTGTTTTTGGCTATAGATACTAAAGATTCCTTCAACAGTAAAATAAGATTTCTCCAGGCTGGGCGCTGTGGCTCACACCTGTAATTCCAGCACTTTGGGAGGCTGAGGTGAGAGGATTGCCTGAGCCCACAGGTTCGAGACCAACCTGGGCAACTTGGTGAGACTTCGTCTCTGCAATAAATTAAAAAATTAGCCTGACCACGGTGGTGCACATCTTTAGTTCCAGCTACTTGGAAGGCTGAGGTGGAAGGATCACCTGAGCCCAGCAGGTCAAGGCTGTGGTGGCTGTGTGCTTGCCACCACACTCCAGCCTGGGTGACAAAATGTGACTTCAACTTAAAAAAAAAAAATTCCTCCAGATAAGTGATTCTTCCCCGTTTATAACTGGCTTCCTGGACCTAACCTTGCTGACAAATCATGACAGGTTAATTTGGGGAAAGACTGTTCATAGGAAATAGTACTGTTTCTTTGCTCCTTTCAGTAACAGGGATTTCAGTAATTGACCTAAACGACTTGGGGGACCTGCATGTATTTGCTTCACGGCTTAGATTCCCAACTTGGATCCTACCTTAAATCCCTCCTGCTCACAATTTTAAAATTTAAGTGGTTGAGCTACCTTTCTTTGTTTTTTTTTTTTTGGAGTCAAAGTCTCACTCTGTTGTTCAGGCTGGAGTGCAGTGGCACGCTCACAGCCACTGCAGCCTTGACCTGCTGGGCTCAGGCTATCCTTCCACTTCAACCTTCCAAGTAGCTGGAACTACAGGTGCACATTACCATGCCTGGCATATTTTTTTATTTATTGTAGAGACAAAGTCTCACCAAGTTGCCCAGGCTGGTCTTGAACCCAATGGGCTCAGGCATTCCTCTCCCCTTCATCTCCCAAAGTGCTGGGATTATAGGCCTGAGCCACTGTGCTTGACCTTGAACTACCTTTCAAATAGGGGCAGAATGAGGGCTAGGATGAAATTATCAGGTGGTAGAATATCAGTGGATTCTAAGGCTACATCTTTTACAAGAATGTGGTCACGTATGGTATCTAGATTATTAAAATTTCTCTCCCCTGTTGATTACTCCAAGTAGCCCTTGGTGGGACATAATATGATGTTGGATCTGCTGCATCTCCATGAGAAGTTCTTCAGACCTCTCCCAGGTAGGAGCAGACCCGTCATTCTCCTTCCTCTCATCCTAGCTTGCCGCCTGGCTAAGGAATTGGTCCAGAGCCATGAGGTAGCCCCTAAAATACACATTCCTTCCCAGCGCCTGCAGGTTTCTGGGGAGGTCAGGCAGGGGCATGTACTCTGATGGGTGTCTGTTACCATCTTCCCAGAGTGGAAGAATAGGACATGTCCTTCAAGGCAGAAGAGCTTTCATTAAAACTGGTACCCCTCCCCCCATAACTTGGCAAAATCAAAACTGCGTGGAGGACAGAGGTTACCTTTAATCAGCTGTAATCCTGAGTTTTTATATATTTGATTACACCACAGATTTGACTTTACATTTGGTTTTTTGGTTTTTTTTTTTTTACTATTTTATGTCTTTAAAAACTGAATGTCAGCTTAATGCTGTGTGGTGATGTCTTCCGGCTACACCCTCCTTTCTTGTGGTTGATTCCATTGTTGGACATAGATGGCAGTGCAGCCTATTGGTTAGTAGCCTCAGAGTCCTTGACCCACCCCTTCCTCACTGTGTGTAATCTCCAGTGAGTTACATTTTCTTACTGTAAGATGGGGACAGTGTTACCAATATCAAAGGAGTTGCAAGATTGAATGAACTGATAGATGCACAGAGGATACTAGTGAGAGGACAACAATAGATTTAGGTTAAGAGCATGCTATTGAGAGACCCAAGAAACCAAGAAACTTATTTGCTGTAAAAGTAGCGTTTAGTTCACTATATTTCATATATCCCCACCTCATGTTTACTATATATTTTGTGTATTCCTACCTCATGTATTTTATGAAATCTTAGTACTTTAAATCCTACCTCAGACCCCGTAGAATTAGGCATATGTCAGGTTTTAAGCAGTGTTTGTATTTAGAATCCTTGGGTTAAGCATTGTCAACCCCAAACCAGCAGGCTAACTTATGCTTTTACAACGGGATGTAAAGGATAAAGCGATAAGCCTCTTTCAAACATTCCTACAAGGTGGCACCAGACTTAGAGGAGCCAGCTCCTCTCTAGGTGGGCTTTATCACCGGTTTTTATCTCAGTGATAATTTACACACAGTGGCTATGTAAACCTGCAGGAAACAAAGACTTTTATAAAAGTAACCACCTTGCTATAATAAGCTTGCTATTATAAATTCCTAGAATTAGTATATGATTTTCTACCCCACATTCACTCTATGTGTTTGCAGCATTCATATTTAAAACTTTGTTAAGTTTGGCTTTTGTTGTCCCATAATGACTATGTTATGTTATGTAAAGGTTAAGCAAACAAGCTTTCCTAAGCAAGCCTTGGGCTGGATCGTAAACTAAAAGGGCTAATGTAACCCTTTGTCTGCTGGCTCAGGTTACTTCATAAGCAGGGACTGTATGGACCTAACTTATCTAACATTCCACTCGACCCATTACGTGGGTTTCTGTCAATCACGGGCAGCACCCACCAATACCAAGTGTTCCCGTACCCATTAGGAGAAATTATCCAATCATGTAAAATCAAGTTTGGAGTTCTTTCCCCTCCCTCTGTAATTGTGCATAAAAATTGCTTGCCATTGTGAATCAGGGCTCTGGTCCCTGAAGCTGCTGCTTCGGGTGTGAGCCCAGACTCGAGCCTGAATAAAGACCCTCGTGTGTTTGCATCGAGCTGGCTCTTTGTGGTCTCTATATCTCTCTCATTAGAGTCCCGGGTTCAATACTAGTCTAAATTAAAAGGTTAAGAAAGGTTTAGGAGCAGTTTCCCCGCACCCTCCCCAAGAAAAATAATAGAATGCCTGAGTTTGAGTATATTGAGAGAAATGGGGAGAATGAGGGGTAAAACTAATAAATAACACATGCTCACTGAGAAACTAAACTGCACCACGGTAATCACTGAGAGAACAAAAGCTTTGCAGAAAGGAAAGATCACTCTGTCTCCCACTGTAGCTCCCAGCTGCTTCTTGTGCATGAAATGCGGGGGTTTAGTGAAGGGGATGTGTGACAGGAGGGGTGGAGTGGGAGGGCCTTACCCTCTCAGCTGGTGGGAAGTCAGCAGTGAGGTGCCTAAAACCCCAGCATACATGTGTTAGGATATGGGAAGAAAATACCAGAAGGAAAAGAATTGGAAGTAGTTGCCTTTTGGGGAGCAGGAAATGGGAGGGTAGTGGGAAGGCGATCTCAGGGTTGGTTGTTTTTAGAACGTGTGTGCCTTGCAGTAAGCCTCTTTAAACTGTATGCAGGTATAACTTTGATAAATTCACTAATAGTTGTTATTTAAACTTTTATCAGTGCATGTCTCATAATGACTTTTAGTTGACTTTTTTTCCTTGAATTTTTTTCCTGTGGTCATTTACAAATGATGATTTCATGGCCGCCTTTCCAATAATACCTCAATTTCTTTTATCCCATTGGCTAGAACTTTGCAAACTACATGAACTAAAGGTGGCAATAGAAAACACGCTGAATTTGTTGGAAAGCCAATTGGCCTATACTATTTATTTACTTATTTTTGAGTTGGAGGCTCACTCTGTCACATAGGTTGGAGTGAAGTGACATGCTGATGGCCACCGCAGCCTCAACCTACTGGGCTCAGGAGATCCTTCCACCTCGGCCTTCAAAGCAGCTGGAGCTACAGGCGTGTGCCACCACACCCGGCTAATTTTTTTTATTTATTATAGAGATTAGGTCTCACCAGGTTGCCTAGGCTGATCTCAAACCTGTGGGTTCAGGCAATCATCTTGCCTCCGCCTCCCAAAGTGCTGGGATTACAGGCATTAGCCACCGTGCCCAGCTAGGCCTATATTATTAAAAGTGGGGATGGCAGGTTGGTTTGAGATTAGAAATCATTAATGGTTAAGATTAAAGATATTTTCAATTCCTACTTTGCTTTAGTTTGTTTTATTAATCAGTGTTAGTAGCAAAGCAGGTTAGAGAGTGTTCCTTCCCATTTTTACCAACAAATGAACTCACTTTCGACTATCTGGGTCTTTTCCCTCAGAAAGCTATGATCAGTTTAAGCAGAATATCCACAGCCTGTTTCCTGTGCTCATTGACACCAAGAACGTAACAAAGGATATCTGGAAGGTAATGAACAGAATTGCTCAGGGGTTAGGACTGCTTTGTCCATACCACTGACACTTAGCTTTCTCCTGTGTTTTTTTAACTTTGAACGCCATTCTCTTTAAAACCAGTGTTATCAGTTTTCTTTTGTATTTTGGTGTCTCTGGTTCATCATATTAGCTTATATATGATTTTTTTCCTTTCCTCATTCAAATTCCAGCGTCTTCTTTGTGGGTAGTTTTGCTTATTTAGATTGGACAACAGAACAACTTATTTTAGAGCTTGATACACATCACATGAATATTTCCAGTGTGCTTAAATAGCACCACGGTGTGGGGGTTCTCCTCTTGAAAACTCTCAAGAAAACATTTTTACTGAGCCCTAAGGTCATCATGAGTTCTCAGCCCTAGTGACTGGTTGAAGTCACTTGGGAAGTTAAGTACTGCCGGGTAGGCCCCGATGGCAACTTCTTGTCTGATCTTGGAATGGGTCCAGGTGTTCTTGCTAAAACTCCCCAGGTGTTTCTGTTGTGGAATCTGGGTGTGCACTACACATAGAGAAGAAGGACCTAGCTGGTTTAAATGCTTCTTGGAGATTAAACTGAGGAACAGAAGAAGGGGAATCAGATCAAGTTTGTAGAACCTCAGGATGATCACTTGGAGCGATTATTTAAGAAGGGAGCCACAAAAGTGGGAAGGGGTTACTTGACACATCTGTGCCCAGAGAGGCTCTTACCTGTATTTCATGTATTTCTAGCTAGTGTCCTAAGCTACTCTTAGGACTTAGTCCCTGGGGTTGTCTAGTGTGAGACTCCCTGGCCTCTGTGTACTGCCTTGTGTCCTGTGTGTTTAGAATTCCTTGAACAACTGTCTTCTAGGGAGCTGGTATGTGTAGAGTGTTTTCCTAGTCTGGGTCTTGGGAGTCCTTCTAGGAAACCCAAGGATACTAGGCACCCTATAATTAAGAGCACTGTGATTAAGGAATGGGAATAGTTACACTTTTTGAAGAGAAAGAGGAGGCTGTAGGAGTTAGCATTTTCTAGGCCATTTTGATGGTCATTTGGTAACACCTGAATAAACAAAAGCACAAATGTTTTACTCTGATTTCTCCATAATTGTAGGAGATGAATTTCCCAAGGGTCTCAAATCTCTCAGAAGTGTATGATATACTGAACAGGTAAGGAAGGTGTTCCCTGGAGCTGCTTCTGGGGCATGATCTGTGACCCAGGGCCTTCCTGTGCTCTAGGCAAGTCCCCGGGCACCACTGGGCTCTCCCTGTCCACCCCCTCCATGGCGTAGGTCTCTTCTCCAGCTCCTCATGCTTTGTCTCCTTCCTCAGACAGCCTTTTTTGCCCCATTTTCAAGAAGAAAGTAAGCCAGAGACAGAAGGTCTCTCAGCCCCCACCCGCCACCCCCAAACACTTGTGTAGTTACTGTTCATTTCTCATCACCTCTGCCTGTCACCAGCAGATGTGAATGTCTTCCCTGGGCAGGAAGGGCTGCCCCCCATACCTCCCCCTACCCAGCCCAGCACACCCCCCCCTTTACCTTTATCTTCATTGTCTCCTCTTTCCTTTCCCTCGATGCCAACGCATGTTCTCCTGGCCTCACAGGAGCCCTTTGACTCCGCTTTCGCTGCCACTGTCTTTGTCTACTTGACAGTGAGTCCTGTTGGAGGTCACCAGCACCCCCAAGTCCCCTGCAGTCAGGCTTCGGTCCCTTCACCAGCTGCTCTCTGAAGCCCTACCGGGTATCAAGTGATCTGCATCTTAGTTGACAGGATGCTGCTCTGGAGGCATTTGGAATGAGGCATGGCACATTGCCATGCTCTGATATTGATTTCCCATGGCATGTGATACCCATAACCTCTCCTCCCATGTCCTGGGTTGTTGTTGTTGCTCCTTGTTTCTCTCATTGTCTGGTGTGTGTGTGATTCCTACCCAGTCCCTTTGCTTCTTGTTCTCTCCTTGTCTCCTAAGTCGTCTCTCAAGGGTCCCTCGACCCTCTGCTTGCTCGTCACCATCCCCAGGTGGACTCATTCACCCCCTGGGTTTCAGCTGCTGACCCCAGCAGTTCCAGTGCACTTCTCCTCCCAGCTGTCTTCTCAATCTTCCTACCACATGTACCTTCAACTTGACCTTCATCTCTGTCCTTCTAACCCACTCTGGTGCTTGGAAAACCCAAAGTCTTTATAGTGCCAGGCATGGTGCTGGGGCTGTGTTTGCAATGAGAGGATGATAGGGGAGAGTTTAGTTTTACTTTGAATGCACCAACTTTGATTCTAGACTTCCTGGGTTTAAATCCCAGCTTTGCCACTTACTGGTTTTGCAAGTAGCCTTGAGGGAATTACTTAATTTCTCTGCTTTAGTTTTACCATCTGTGAAATGAAAAAATAATAGTGTGTAACTCACAAGGTTGTTGAGAGGATTACATGAGTTCAGTTGTGTGGAAGGACTTAGAACATGCCTTGCATGTAGTCAAGGTCCATTCACTGTTAGCTGCTGCTGTTGACAACTCTCCCATCCTGTAGCCACTTCCCAGCACAGGCATGTTACCATGCTGCTTTCTTTTTTTTTTTTTTTTTTGAGTCGGAGTCTCACTCTGTCACCCAGGCTGGAGTGCAGTGGCATGCTCATGGCCACTGAAGCCTCGACCTGCTGGGCTCGGGTGATCTTTCCACCTTGGCCTTCCAAGTAGCTGGAATCACAGGTGTGTGCCTCCATGCCTGGCTAATTTTTTGATTTATTGTAGAGACGAGGTCTTGCCATGTTGCTCAGTCTGGTCTCGAACCCCTGAGCTCAGGTGATCCTCTCACCTCTGCCTCCCAAAGTGCTGGGATTACAGGCTTGATCCACTGTGCCTGGCTATCATGCCTGTTTCACAGATGAGAAAACGAGGGATCAGAGAGGTTAAGCACCTGAGGTTCTAAAAGATCTTGTTGGGAACGAGTGAAGTGAGGGTTTCCTTGTTGTCAGATGCTGTCACCATTCAACCAAGTCCCAGAGCCAAGTCCGGGATGTGGTCCCAGAGCTGAGTTGCCCACATCTGCCTAGTCAAGTCCTGTTGATTTTACCCCATAAATCTCTTTAAAATCTGACCTTTCTCTGCATTCTCAGGATTACTGCCTTCATTCCAGCCTTTATTTTTCATTCCCATTGTGGCGGGAGCCCCAAGCTGGCTTCTCACTTGTATGACCTGTCCCACTTCTTTTCCACGCTGCCCCTCAAGATGATTTAAAAGGTGAATTTGACTGGGCCATTTTTCTAGTTGAAGTCTCTCTGGGACTCTGAAGCCCCCCAGCCTGTTGTACGGGCTCCTCTGCTATCTGGCCCGCCCCTCCTACAGGGTCTCCAGCCACATTTCTTCATACGGCTCCCAGTGGCAGGCCTTGTTCTCTCTTCACTGTCTCTGCTGCTCTAAACACCCAGTATCACCCTATTCCTTCAGCCAGGCTAGTATTGGTGGCCCAGGACTTTCCATACACGCGCCTCTTCCTTTGGGAAGCCTGCCTTCCCCATGCCCTCCCCATGCCTTCTGCCCTCAGGATCCTGGAGTGAACTTCACAGTGACAGTGTCTTGTTTGCTTTGGTGCTTAGGCCCAGGTGACACTTTGATAAGTGCCCAGGATGATCCAGTTGGAGCTGCTGTTCCTGCACCTGTCCTGTTGCCTTGTCATCAAGCCCCTGTCTGTCCAGGCCTAGATTTGTGCTTTTTAAGGGACTGAGGGAAGAACAAGAAAGGGTTATTTGCAGTGAATTGTCCTTCATCCTATTTTTCCTACAGTGACTTGAATCCCACCAAGAATTCCGGACCAGAGATTGTTCATGCAAGCAGGTGTGAAAAATACGGTATGTTCCCACAAGCCCTAGCTCCTGGCATAGCCACAAGGCACTGAGGGGCCAGTCAGAGGCTCCTCCTTGACATTGATCTTCCCAGACAGCAAGGGAGTGAGTGGGGGGGGGTGCTCCTGAGGGGTTTTCCTGGGATCCACATACTCCACATTGACTCCCACAAAAAACAAGCATGCCCAGAATGCATGTGAGACCCGGGGAGTTGTCTGTCTGCTTGATGTGGTGGTGGTGGTTCTGCCAGGCAGCTCTGAGCTCGCAGCTTCCTCCACCCTGGGGAGGCCCAGGTGAGGCTGGTATGTGGGCCAGGAGAAGGGCCACATGAGGGTCTGAGGCTGATGAGGCACAAGCTGCTGTGGGTGTTGAACTGGGATGGGCAAGACTCCCCTTCCTGGGCCGTGTCTCTAATGGCTGCCTGCTACTCTCTCCCCCATGTGTGGAAAACGCTTCAGTGGAGACAAAGTACCCCCATGAAGCTGCGTATGATGCTTTTCTTTGCGGGTCAGGTAAGAACTTCTGTTCTTTTAAAAGGAAACTGTGTGTGTGTGTGTGTATGTGTGTGTGTAGGAGTCTCATTCTGTTGCCCAGGCTGCAGTGCAGTGGCATGCCTCAACTTGCTGGACTCAGGTGATCCTTCTGCCTCAGCCTTCCAAGTAGCTGGAACCACAGGCATGTGCCACCATACCTGGCTAATTTTTTGATTTACTGTAAAGATGAGGTCTCACCAAGTTGTCCAGGCTGGTCTCGAACCTCTGGGCTCTGGCAATCCTCTTGCCTCTACCTCCCAAAGTGCTGGAATTATAGGTGTGAGCCACCATACCTGGCAAGGAAACTCTTTTTATTAGCCACAAGCCCCTGCCATCCCAGGCTCTCCATTATTTCAAGTTGAGTTGCACACAGTAGAAATAAAGCATCATCCGCGTATGCTGATAAGGTCTGTTACAGTTCTAGCTTTTTTTCCTCCCACAGTTCTCTTGAAAGTGGCACACTTGCTCCTGCAGAAGGTACACAGGTAAGTGCTCTTTCCTCCCATCCTTTTTTTAAGTCAGAGGCTTGGATTCACTGAGCCCTTGCTGTAAGCTGAGAACTCCCCAGTCCTGGGCTCTAACAAAGGGGAGAATGTGGGATGTCGCTGGGGTGGAAATCTTGTCCCTGACTGGGCAGCAGCCTGTATAGCAGTTACAGACAAATGACCTTCCTCCAAAGGAGTGGGCCCTCCTTCTACCCTTGCCTCCCACCTGTTTGGGTGCCGGCTCCTTACCCCTGTCTCGGCAGTGGAAGAATTCACAGAAGTCAGGAGACCAATACAGTGGGGTTAGGTGGGAGACGGGGTTTCACTCTGTCACTCAGGCTGGAGTGCAGTGGCGTGATCACAGTTCACTGGAGCCTCAAACTCCTGGGCTCAAGCAGTCCTCCTGCCTCAGCCTTCTAAGTAGCTGGGACTACAGGTGCATGCCACAGTGCCCGGCTAGTTTTTTTCTTTTTTGCAGAGACAGGGTCTCACTTTGTTGCCCAGGCTTGTCTTGAACTCATAGCCTCAAGCAATCCTCTCACCTCGGCCTCCCTAAGGGCTGGGAGTGAGCCACTGTGCCCAGCAGGCTTAGGTTCTGATACATGCTTCAGACCTTCCCAGTCTGGTATGTTTGCCTGGTCTGTTTCCTACTTGTATTCTCACAGTTGTGTAAGTAACAAAGAGGTTGGAAAAAGTGTTCACATCATTGGGGTTCACAGAGTCAGGCTGGGGACAAGGGCAGTAACTTGGAAGAAGGCTGGGGAGAGGTTCGTGAGACCCCAAATTGAAATCTTAAATGTGTTTCTCCATGGCAACACCACCCTTGATGCCTGAAGCACTGGGCACGTAGGCACCAAAACACACTTGAAATGTGCATTTGGCAGCAATGTCCTGGGTATGCACATTTATTAAATAGGACTTAGCAGGCTGGGCACAGAAGCTGATCAAAACTGTCACATGTTCTCTGGGACTGACTTAGAAACATCTTTTAGGACTGTAATCTGTTAACTTGGGTACTGCCTCTGTGTCTGTTTCAGCAGTAGATTTTATAAATACACACATTCTATGACACGTTGATGTGAGGCTTATAACTTAATAACTAACCTGCCAGTGTGTCTCCCCCTCCTGCGGTTTGACAGTGTTAAGTGCCCACCAGTGTGTGCCCGAGCGCTGGACGGTGAAGGCACTAACAGCAGCCTCTGGGTCCTGGGGTCTCACATCCTTTATTCCTTCTAATCCTCATGACCTAAAAACCCTCCTCAGCTTAGAGAAGTTCTGCCTGACTGTGTAGCCCTTGGTTTCCTTGTGGTCTGTGCTCAGGAGTGTGTGGCTCTTGAACAGAGGTGAGGCTGGTGGTAAGAAGAGGCTGTGGGTTTTGGGGACATTCAAGGGTGATGTCAAGGGATGCTGACAAGGAGCTTTCTCTGAACAGTGGCCTCTCACTAATTCTCTGAGCCTGTTGCTAATGCTTGTCACCAGAGGGACCTTCACCAGACGGTTACCACAGGTGGTGACCATCTGGAAGCTTGGCTTTTGTGGGCCATTGAGTGAGCTCTTTAAAATTGGCCTGGGCCAGGGATGGTGTCTCTTGCCTATAATCACAATACTTTGGGGAAACCGAAGTGGGAGGATTGCTTGAGCCCAGAAGTTCGAACCCAGCCTGGGCAACATAGTAAGACTTTGTCTCTATAAAAAATTAGCCAGCCGGGCTCGCTGGCTCAGCCTGTAATCCCGCGCCTTTGGGAGGCTGAGGTGAGTGGATTGCCTGAGCCCGCGGGTTCGAGACCTGGGCAGCGAGACCTCATCTCTACAATAAATCAAAACATCAGCCAGGCGTGGTAGCGCATGCCTGTAATTCCGGCTACTCAGAAGGCTGAGGCGGAAGGATCGCCAGAGCCCAGCAGGTCGAGGCTGCGGTGGCCGGGAGTGGCCACTGCACTCCAGTCTGGGCGACAGAGTGAGACTCCAACTCAAAAAAAAAAAAAAAAATTAGCCAACCATGGTGTCATGTGCCTATAGTCCCAGCTACTCCAGAGGCTGAGGTGGAAGGATCGCCTGAGCCCAGGAGTTTGAGGCTGCCATGAGCTGTGATTGTGCCACTTCACTCTAGTCTGGGTGAAGGAGTGAGACCCTGACTCAAAAAAAAAGAAATTGGTTTGGGCCCAGCATGAGCCCCAGTACTCATGAGGGGAGGGAGAGAAAGCTATTTCAGAACAGCATCCTTTTGCTGTCCTTCACCAGATCCTTGGCTGTGGCCAAGGACATGAATAATCTCCCATGTGCCTGAATGCTTTGAGGTTTTCTGTCCATGCAGCATTGACCCCACGCCCAAGTCCTCCTTTCCTCAGTACCTTGATGTGCTGGCTCCTTATGTGAACCAAGTGAACCTTATCCGAGCAGGGGTCCCCAAAATCGTGAGTAGATTTCACTCCGATCCTTTACCCTGTTCAGAGTCTTATGGTGGAGGGTGGCCTGGTACTGTCTTGGATGTGTGAGAGCTCTCCCCATAACCAAGACAAGAGCTGAGAGGATATTCGTCCCCCCCCTTTCTGTTTCCTCTTGTGTTTTTCTGCCAAAGCTAGCACAAACTCCTCCCTCCCTCCCTTCCCCGCTCCTCCTCCTCCAAACTCCTAACAGTTGTTTCTAGTTTCTTGAAGGATTTTCAAATCGGGCAAGATATCAGTAAGAATTGTGGAAAAATATCGTTTGTTCTTCATGTTTTCTAGAACTTTTCTGGTCCGGATTATCCCAGTGTCCGACCTCCCATCCTCATCCTCAGCGTCAGACAGTGGCCCGGGGTCAGTGAGCAGCAGGTCTACCACAAGTTTCAGAACCTCTGCAAGTTTGACGTCAGGCGGCTCACACGGAGCCAGTTCCTGCTCCTGACCAATAAGTTTAAGGAGTAGGTGCCTCTGTCCCTGCCCAGCCTCTCCTCCCTCTCTCCCATCCCCCTCCAGCTGTTGCCTTCACTCTCTGCCTCCACCTGTGTAGAGCCTGATGGTGGCAGCCAGTGTGATCCCGTTGCTCGGCTGAGCTGAGCGCGCTTTCTTTGGCAGCGTCCGGATTATCCTGAAGGAGTACAGGGGCCATCCCACCCTGCGGGTCTCCCTGTATCGGCATTGGAGACATTCCCCAAACATCAGCTGCTTGTTGCAGTAAGTGACCAGGCTGAGGACTGCCCTTGTGCCTGTTCTGGGTCCCGGGTTAGTGTGATTCAAGCATAGCTCACTAGCTGGTCTGTGTTGACAAGTAGGATGAGCTGGATGTTATTTAGTGTTTATTGAGCATCTGGGCCAGTGAATAAAACAAAACCCTCTGTTCTGGGGGAGTTCATGTGCTAGTGGGAGATAACAATAAATGTAATAAGTGAGTAGACCCTATAATGTATTAGGTGACAAGTGTTTTGTTTTTTTTTTTGAGTTGGAGTCTCACTCTGTCACCCAGACTGGAGTGCAGTAGCTGTTCCTGGCCACCACAGCCTTGACCTGCTGGGCTCCGGCAATCCTTCCGCCTCAGCCTTCCAAGTAGCTGGAACTACAGGCGCGTGCTACCACGCCTGGCTAATTTTTGATTTATTGTGAGATGAGTCTC